GTCTTCCTAAAGACCCCCCACCCCCGGCTCGGCCCCAGAGCCCCTCAATCCTCCACCCCTGCCCCCGGGGTCCCACGGTAGGATGGGGGACAACACCAGCCCCATCAGCGTGATTCTGGTGAGCTCGGGGAGCAGGGGCAATAAACTGCTGTTCAGATACCCCTTCCAGAGAAGCCAGGAGCACCCGGCGTCCCAGACAAGTAAGTGAGCGCTGGGAGCGGGCCTGGCGCTTCCGGGCATGCGCCTGGCGGCCGGACCAGAGCAGCCAGCTGCAGGGGCCCCCTCACCGCCTCGCTCGGTACAATTCAAGTCCTTTACTTTTTTCTTTTCCTGATCATACAGTCGCTGTCTACTCTTTGTAGAGTACTGTTTGGAAAGAGTAGGAAAGTAAAAAGAAATAGAAGAAAGATCACTCATAATTCAACAGGCCAAAGCCCCCTATTGCTAACATTTCATCCATGTCTGCAGCCTTTTCAAAAAATAAGTAAGCACTGCATGTGTTAACTTAAAAATAAAAGGCCAAAGTGAGATGCAACAAGCATTTACTTGAGATCAATAAGAAGAGCTATTTGGGATGCTCCCAGTAGTGCTCTGATTGAGGGACAAAGGCAGCGGGTATTTATGAGAAAGGGAAGGGGAACAATTATATCAATAGAAGGGGGGCATTTATTTCTATTGGTCAGATTCTAAACAATGTTTTTAATTTTTAGTCCAGTAGCCATAAGTCAGGTACAGTATTTGCTTTGTTGTATCTTTACAATCAGTTCTTTGGGGCATAAGGTTGCTTAAGCCCAGTCCAAAGGTTATCTTGCCCAGTTTTAACATTTCAAGATTTGAGGCATAGGACATGCAAGGCAGTTCCTCTGGGATGGCAGCTCCAGCTCCATTTTAAAGTGGCTCCATTTATTGTTATTTTTTGACATATAAATGTATTCGGCTTGGAAAAAATAGGAAATTACAGATCCATCTGGTTTCTTTGACTGCCTACCACCCCCAGTTCTGCTCCCCCTTTGCAGGAATAACTTCTTACCATTTTAGTAATTGTCCCTCCTGTACATAGATACCAACTATGTATCCATAGGAAAATAGTATATTGTTTTGGGGATTTTTTGTCCCTCACATAAATGTATTGCTCTGCAGTGGCTTTTTTCCACTGAACAGTTTTTTTCACTGAACAGCCTTGGAGTACTGTGTGATTTAGTAAACAGAGACCACCCTCACTCTTAGTTGTAATGTACAGCTTCTGTGGATGGACATTTAGGTTACTTGCAGTTTTTCACCATCATGAATGTTCAGTTTGTAATTTATATTTTGTTTTAAAATTACCTTTAAGTTTGTTAATATGGTACAAAGTTTTAAAGGTACAAAGGGATTTAGATTATGAAAAGAAAGTTCTTTCCCACCACTGACCTCCCCAGCTACCCATTTCCCCTTATAGGAGCAGCTGCTGTTACCATTTTCTTGTGCCTCTTTCCAGAATCTTCTGTGTAAATACAAGCATATGCATGTATTATGTTACTTTTTCTAAGCACAAGTGAACAAACACACTGTAGGCACTGTTTTGCTGTGTGTGTTGGTTTCATTTTAACTTTATATCTTGGGTATAGTTTCAGAATTAGGATCAGAATCATGGGATGAACATACTGTGATTTATTTATCCAGTCCTCTGTTGATGGGCATTTAAGTTCTTTCCAAAATTTTTGCTACTATAACCAGTGTGAATGTCCTTTGTGCATATACACGGTGTCCCCCAAAAATGTATACACTGTAACAGCTGATGGCTCAATTTTGAAAATGAAATGCATTTTAATAAACACTGCCTTTATAATTATTCAAAGTGTGTGTATGCACTTTTTGGGGACACCCTATATTATCATTTTGCTGGTTATAGGATTAATTCCCAGAAGTGGGATGGTTAAATCCAGGGGATAATGAGCATATTTCTTTCTTTTCTTTTTTTGTCAATTACAGTTGTCATTCAACATTACTTTATGTTAGTTTCAGGTATACAGCATAATAGTTAGACATTTATATAATTTATTTATTTAAAAAATATGTCTTTATTGATTTCAGAGAGAGGAAAAGAGAGGGAGAGAGAGAGATAGAAACATCAATGATGAGAGAGTCATTGATCGGCTGCCTCCTGCACTCCCCTGATTGGGGATCAAGCCCGCAGCCCGAGCATGTGCCCTGACCAGGAATCGAACCCCAATCACCTGGATCCTAGGTCGACTCTCAACCGCTGAGCCATGCCTAGCCGGGCTATATAATTTATTAACTGATCCACATGATAAGTCTAATACCCACCTGGCACGATACATAATTTTAAAGTATTATTGAATATATTTTCTATGCTGTACTTTACATTCTCATGACTATTCTGTAACTACCAATTTGTGCTTCTTAATCCCTTCAACTTTTCACCCAGCTTCCTAGCCCCCTCCCATCTGGCAACCATCAGTTTGTTCTCTGTATCTATGAGTCTGTTTCTGTTTTGTTTATTTCATTCTTTAGATTCCACATGTAAATGAAATCATATGGTATTTATTTTTTTCTGTCTGACTTATTTCACTTAGCGTAATATCCTCTAGGTCCATTCATGTCACAAATGGTAAGATTTCATTTTTTTATGGCTGAGTAATACTCCATTATATATATGGACCACATCTTCTTTATCCAATCATCTATTGATGTGCACTTAGATTGCTTCTATATCTTGGCTATTGTAAATAATGTTGCAATGAACATAAGGGTGCATATATCTTTTTAAATTAGTGCTTTGGGCTTCTTCCGATAAATACCCAGAATTGGAATTTCTGGGTCATAAGGTAGTTCTGCTTTTAATTTAAGAAACCCTCATACTGTTTTCCATAGTGGCCACACCAATTTGCAGTCCCACCAACAGTACACTAGGGTTCCCTTTTCTCCACATCCTTGCCAACACTTGTTTGTAGATTTGATGATAGCAATTCTGACAGGTGTGAGGTGATACCTTATTGTGGTCTTAATTGGCATTTCTCTGATGATTTCTGATGTCTAATCTGTCTAATCTGTATGTTCTCTTTGGAGAAATGTCTATTCAGTTCCTCTGCTCTTTTTTTTTTTTTTAATACATCTTTATTGATTTCAGAGAGAGGAAGGGAGAGAGAGAGATGGAAACATCAATGATGAGAGAGTCATCATTGATCGACTGCCTCCCACATGCCCCCGACTAGGGACCGAGCCCGCAACCCTGGCATGTGCCCTGACCAGGAATCAAACTGCAATCTCCTGGATCCTAGGTTGATGCGCAACTGCTGAGCCATGCCCGGCCAGGCCTCTACTCATTTATTAAAAAATATTTTGTTATTGATTTTTGGAGAGAGAAAGAGAAACATCTGTGTGAGATTGAAACATCGATCAACTGCCTCTTGCACACCCCCCACCAGGGATCGAGACCACAGCCTGGGCATGTGCCCTGACCGGGAATAGAACCCTCAACCCCCTAATGCAAGGGATGATGCCCAGCTAACTGAGCAACACTGGCCAGGGCCTCTTTCCATTTTTTAATTGGATTGTTTGTTTTTCTGGTATTAAGTTGTGTGAGTTCTTTATAAGTTTTGGATATTGACCCGTTATTGGATGTACTATTGGCAAATACCTTCTCTGTGTGTAGGTTGTTTTTGCATTTTGTTGATTGTTTCCTTTGCTGTGCAAAACTTTTTAGTTTGATGTAGTCTCGTTTGTTTTTTTCTTTTGTTTCCCTTGCCTGAGGAGATATACCAAAAAAAAAAAAAATGTTACTGAGAGCAGTGTCAGAGTTTACTGCCTATGTTTTCTTCTAGGAGTTTTATGGTTTGGGATCTTACATTTAAGTCTTTAATCCATTTTGAGTTTATTCTTGTATATGGTGTAAGAAGGTGGTCTAATTTCATTTTTTTGCATGTATCTGTCCAGTTTTTCCAACACCATTTATTGAATAGACTGTTTTTACCCCATTGTATATTTGTGCATCCTTTGTCATAGAGTAATTGATCATATAGTTGTGGGTTTATTTCTGGGCTCTCTATTTTGTTTCATTGATCTGTGTGTCTCTTTTTATTCCATTACCATGCTGTTTTGATTACTATAGCCTTATAGTATAGTATGAAATCAGGTGGTGTGATACCTCCAAGTTTGTTCATCTTTCTCGAGATTGCTGTGGCTTTTCCGGGTCCATATAAATTCTAGGATTATTTGTTCTAGGGTTGGTGAAAAATGACGTTGGTGTTTTGATACGGATTACATTAAATCTATGGATTGCTTTGGGTAGTATGGACATTTTAACAATATTCTTTCTATCCATGAGTATGGTGTAAGCTTTCATTTATTTGTATCTTCTTCAATTTCTGTCTTCAACATCTTACAATTTTTCCAAGTCGTTTACCTCCTTGGTTAAATTTATTCCTAGGTTGTTGGTTTTTTTTTTAATGCAGTTTTAAATGGGAATGTTTTTTAAAGTTCTCTTTCTGATAGTTTATTATTGGTGTGTAAAAATGCAACCTATCTCTGAATATAGGACTTCCAATACTATGTTGAATAAAAGTGGTGAAAGTGGACATCCTTATTTCTGATATTAAGGAAAAGACTTTTACCTTTTCCCCATTGAGTATGATGTTAGCTGTGGGTTTGTCATATATGGACTTATTATGTTGAGGTATGTTCCTTCTATTCCCACTTTACTGAGAGTTTTTATCATAAATGGATGCTGGATTTTGTCAAAAATTTTTTCTACATCTATTGATATGACCATATGATTTTTATGCTTCATTTTGTTTATGTGGTGTATCACATTAATTGATTTGTGAATATTGACCTAACCTTGCATCCCAGGAATAAATACCACTTGATTATGGTGTGTGATCTTTTTAATGTATTGCTGAATTCAGTTTGCTAGTATTTTTTTTAGTCATCAGAGGATATGTTTTATTGAGTTTATACAGAGAGGAAGGGGGGGGGAGAGAGAGAAACATTGATGTAAAAGAGAAATATCAATTGGTTGTGTCCTGTATGTCCCATGACCAGTAATCAAATCCACAACCTTTTTGGTGTACTGAGACAATGCTTCAACCAACTGAGCCACCTAACTGGGGCCAGTTTACTAGTATTTTTTTGAGGATTTTGCGTTTAAGTTTATCAGGGATATTGGCCTATAATTTTCTTTTTTTGTAATGTTGTTGTC